ATGTTTAATTGGTGTTATTCAAATGATAAAATTCTAAGAGCAAATAAAACTATGGAAGAGTAAATTAAATAAGTTAAACAGAGTCTTGATTGCAGGACCATATTGAGTCTTAATTATGATATTGTAATTTAAGACTCTCCAAGCAAGTCATGTATATAGCTTGTATATATACATATATATAGTCTAAAAAACATATATTTATGTCCAAATATTGTAATGTATGTTTTCCATGAGTTCTTTTTACAAATAGCATCTTATGAGAGTCATGTTTTATAGGAAAGCAATGTGAAATGCTTTAGAGTAATAAAGCAATATAGTCTGTGTAGATTACATATATATATATATATATAAACCTATAATAAATAAATCTATATTGATTTAGTCTGGGTTCTTGAAGATAAGGGTCTCCTCTTTAAGGACTAAAAGTCCCCTGGAATTTACGACGCCTTCTCTCTTCTTAGTCAAACATCCATATATACATTAGTGTGAATTAGCAGGAGGTCAATGTAGGATGCATTCATCAGGAAGCTATCCTAGAAACAGGTCAAAGAGATTAGAGGATTGTTGGAGTATCATTAAGTAGAAGTGCCTGAATCAGGTGGATTTACCCAACAATGATAATAAAATGATAATAAATATTGTGAGACTCAGATCAGGCAGAGCAGGTAAACATGTTACAGAGTCCAAGCTCACTGCTCGCCACACGACAGGCCAATAAATCGGGAGCCAAGGTGTTGAGGCAAGGAACAGCGACTTTATTCAGAAAGCCAGGCATCTGAGAAGATGGTGGACTAGAGTCCTAGAGAACCATCTTACCAGGGTCTGGATGCTAGCTTCTTTTATAGAACAGAGATGGGGGAGGTGAGCAGGTAAAGTAAAAAGGCCATAAGTCTTGCATAATATCTCCTGGTTTCACCAGACTCAGGGAGGGGATGTGTTAATTTCTTCTTTCCTACAGCCATTCACAGGTGAGCAGGGTCAGGATGTTTCCCTGTGAGGTGAACAAAGGTAGTTTAGTTTAACATTCAGGCAGAGGGGGCAGGGTTCCCTGAGACAGGTCATTATGCATGCTTATAGCTATAGACAACATCCTTTCAGTGATTACAGTAACTTGCAACAAAAGAAACAGAAAGCAAAGGTTAAAGTAAAAGAAACAGATCCAGCATGGAGTCAGATTTGTTCTTCCCTATTACAAACACACGCCTAGAAAGCACAGGTAAGCACAGCCCTGGTGAGAAGTGCCTGAACAAAGTCTGTTTGGTTAGAACATGCTACTCTTTAGAAAACATAACACAGAGACACCTCTTGCCTGGGTGTGTCACCTTTCCACACCCAGATCCATTACACAGAAGAACAAAACAAAGGTAGCTGAATGGGCTTTATGTCATGGCTGCAAAATACAAAGTGTCATGACTAGTACACATTCTTGTTCCATCGCTGGGGACTAGACTTCAGCTCTTCCTATAAGCAGCACACAGCCCTCCTCCCTGCATCATTACAAGCCACACAAGCTCTCCAGCCTGCCCTTTTTAGAAGAGGGTCAGATCTGCTCTAACTCAGGGGTCCCAGGGTCACTTGCCAATGATTGTAACCCAGAGGCCTCAAGTATCAATCACTCAACAGATGTTGGAGCATCTAAATTGTAAATGTCTTGAAAGAAAAGACTAATTTTTTTAAATTGCCCTACTACCTTCCTGTAAGATACAGACCTGAACTAAGGTATTAATCAGCTCTCACTGTCAAAAAGAGAGTAGCAATGCAGTGGGGTAAAATGAAAGCAGGCAAGAAAGATATGATACAAAATAGTGAGTCAATTTGGGATAGTCTTTAAGATTAAATGATGTACTCATTCTCTCTTTCATCCATCTGTCTATTTGGCAAACATTTATAGGAAGTGTCGACTAAAAGATATATACACAACCTAAAAGTTGAGAGTTATGTTTTATTGAGTGGGCATACTGAGGACTTCAAGCCCAGGAGGCAGCTTCTCAAGTAACCCTGAGAAAACTGCTCCTAGGAGGCGAGGGGGGAGCTAGGATATATAGGAGTTTTGCAACAAAGAGCAGGTAGTAGGAACAAAAGAAACTGTTAATGAAAGAAAACTAGACCTCTCAAGTTAAGGAATTTAGAACGTTTCTATTTATGGGAAGATGCAAGAGTCTGGACTCACTGAAATCATTCCTTTGATATGCACCTCAGCTATCTGGGGCCAGTATCCTGTGTTTCCACATGCTGAGTTTCCTCAGGGCTCACTTTTGGAATGGCTGCAGTCTGATGCCTGCTAGATGGCAGGTATTCTTTGTTTCCTTCCTGAGTTCCCTCAGGACTCACCTGCTCGCCATTGAAGGGCTGCAGTCGCTGATGACTGTGACATCCTTTGTTTACTGACATGACAGGCAATATTTCATTTCTCAAAACCTTCATGTTGGGTCTCAGAGAGACAAAAGTGAGAATGAAACATTTTCTCCTCTCAAGGAATCCAGTCAGTCTGTCTTTCACAGGTTGGGAATGCACATGAATCCCTTGAAATGAGGGTTTAAAATGCAGATCCCTGGCCACACCCCCATAGATGCGCATCCGGTTTGGCTGGGGTGGGTTCTAAAAGTCTATATTGTTTTTAATGGTGATTATGATCGCTGTGGTGTATAGGCCACAGGTAACCCTAAATCAGGTGCTTAGCAGAGAACCCTAGCATGTCTATTCTGAATGGACTGAGTGGTTAAGAGCATAATGATTCAGAGCATTTCCTTTAGAGTCAGACAACCTGAGTTCAGATCCTGGCTCCATCACTACCTCTTTGACCTCAGGCAAATGACTTGAACTCAAGACCCGGTTTCATTTGAAATAAAATTGGAATAATATTTCTTATCCCTTGGGATTATTTTGAGAATAAAATGAGATAATCACAATCATGTCTGATACTTTACTTGGCACATAATAGGTGCTCAAAACAAGTTGTAATAGTAACAATAATTATTGTGGTGGTATTATCATCACTACCATATTATAATAGAGTTTCACCAGAATTTGGCTATATTAATCAATATTAGTTATATATAAATATATTACATTAACATAAAATTACATATGTACTACCTAATTCATATATAGTTAATCATATTAATTATGGTATAGATTAATTATATTAATACATATAGTCAACAGAGATTATGACTTGGATAAATCCAAGAGAGGAGCTCATGGAATTTTCTGTAACAGAAAAGTGAAGGCATAGTCTGAAAAATCCTTCCGTTTCCTACAGGGTGAGATTTGCCATCTCTCTTATATGTTAATTTGATATAAAAATCTATTCGAAATGTAGAATTGGAGCAATTTGACAAAGAAAGCGAAAAGAAAAAAAGGAAGTAAGGGAGGTGGCGTTGAAAGCACAGAGAAGAGAGAGAGGTGACTGTTCTGCTTTACAGAACCCCATAGTAGACATTCAGCGCTTCGTATCTGTGAGCTCCACATAGAAAATATTCAGAAAAATAATTCCAGAAAGTTCCAAAAAGCAAAACTTGAATTTTCCATGTGTTACAACTATTTACATCGCATTTATACTGTATTTACAAACATTTATATAGCATTTACATTGCATTATAATACTTACATATTATAAGTAATAAAGAGATAATTTAAAATATCAGAAGGTTGTGGATAGGTTATATACAAATACTATGACAATTACATAAGGGACTTGAGCATCTGTGGATTTTGGTTTCCATGGGGGAGGTAAGTGGGGGAGTTCTGGAACTCATCTCACCCGGATACCAAGAGAAGACTATGTGTATACACAATTCTTATTTGCCTGACCTAAGCAAACGCATGATCCTGTCATAAGGGCATTCGCTTTGGAGCTAAACTTACTTTGGCTTAAATTTTGTCTTTATCTCTTTCTAGAGGAAAATAAAACAGATTAGCAGGTAGTGTGTTTTCTAACATAGTTTGAAGATCTTCATTTTATATAGTAGTTAATGGGAAGTATCCTGCAAAATGTCCCCCTCTGTTACTTTTGCAGTTGTTGTTTGCTTTTAAACTGAAGTAGTTTCAAAGCCAAATGAGGAAAAAAAAAAAAAAAGCCAAATGAGGAATACATGTCATCTTTTCACCCCATAATTTTCACAATTTTCTATTTGAAAAATAACTTCCTTCTTATGATAAAATAATACTGGATATAGAAAATTTAGAAAGTATGGAGAATCCTTTAAAAATGAGAACATAATCACCCAAATAGTTACCACCTAGATATAACCATAATTAAAATTTGATGCTTAGTCCTTTTTTTTCTCGTTATATTTTGTTATCAAAATGTATGTACAAGTTACATTGTTTTGCCCTTAATATTATATAATAGGAATTCACATGTCACACAAAAACATAATACTTGGTGGCTGAATAATTCCTTTCTTCTTTCCCCATAATTTATTTTATCAATGTCTTATTTTGGCAAATTTCACTATGTTAACATAGACAATAAGGGATAATTTTATAAATGATGCTTGTATATATATTTTTTCTTTTGGATAGACTTTTGGAAATAGAATTATACTGAGTGAGGGGTATAAATATTTTAAAATTCACAATGCATGTCAATAAATCTCTTTCCATTAAGGTTGTGCCAATGCTCACTCCCACCATCAGAAGAGTACTAATTTATCTGATAACTAGAGATATTAAATGTGCTTTGATTAATACATTTGCCATTACATTTTTCTGTGAATTATAAATCTCCTTTTGTTTGATTATCTATTGGAGATTTAATTGATGTTGGTTTCTTCTTTCCTCGTTTTTTTCTTTCGTTTTTTTCTTACTAAAAAGTCACCATTTCAGATTTTTCATGGGATGAGTCTTGAATAATTAAGTATATTACTTGTTAAGACACAACCTAGAAACATCTTTCTACTCCCTCTCTCAGTAGTGTTATAGAAAGATTACACTGAGTTTCACTTGTAGAATTCTCTTTGATGACAAATATATTAATATTTCCTTTCCCAGGCAGATTCCAAATGCGGCAGCTTTTAACAGCAACATGCTGGATGATGCTTCTTGGACCTATATATGGTAGTCAAAATGAAGGAAGCTCAACAAATCCAGAAGCTAATATGAATATTGTGAGTCACTCATTAAGGAAAAAGACTAAGAGAAGGAATTATTAAGCTATTGTCATTTTAGATGCAATTGGTATGCCTGTCTAGTTTTTAAAAATTCTAAACTGATTAAGTCTGTGTTTCCTCCCTTGTCCCTTGGCATAGCTACCTAACCAAAGAGTTGAAAGACCTGACCCAAATTGGGGCAGTAATACTCCCTTTGCTGGTAGTTTGAGCTACCATCTCATGGTGGTTTCCTGAAGAGAAGGTTCATGAATTCCTACTGATGATCTCTATGGAGTATACTTGAGCTCTTCCGGAGGCTCTTTCTAGAGCAGTTCCTTTAGTTTGTGAACTATATCCATGTACATTTTCAGTTTAGTAAGCCAGATTTTGTTTGGGTTGCTTATAAACAAAAGTGTCTTAACATGCAGGAATTCATACCAGAAGTGGACTGGAATGAAGTGAAACGGAACAGATCTAGGCAAAAAACAAAACCAAGACAAATGACAAATGTTTGCTAAATGCTTCATTCCAATGGAAATGTACAATTTCTTGTGTACATTGTGCACCCTGAAGTCCTCACCCATACCCAAGTTTGTATTAGAACTTTAAGAATGGAACTGTCGATGTTTTTTAGTTAGTGTCTCTTCTCGTTTCTCTCTCCTAAGTATCCAGCAGGTACTCCTAAGCTTCTACCACACTACTGAGCTCACATTCCATGAAAATATTTTCCTCCTCCTTCCACATTCACAGACACTTTCTTCCTCCCTGGTCTGGCTGCTTTTTGGCTATTCCCTAATGATAAGAAGAAGAATAAACATTTATAGAGCACTTACTGTGTGTATAATCATCACAACATATCTGTGAAGAGATACTATTATTATCATCTTTATTTTGCAGTTCAAGTAAATGAAGCACAAAGGAGTTAAGTAACTTGCCCAAAGCTGCATCGCTAATAAGAGGAAGAGCTGGAATTCAATGCCATACAGCTTGTCTCTATAGTCTGGGCTCTCATAACCAGTGCTTTATATAGCTGCACAATATGTGCACACCTCTTGTGAGCACCCGGCCTGGGAAAATGCATAATCCTGTCATAAAAGCATATGCTTTTGTGCTAAACTAACTTTGACTTAAATTTTGTCTTTATCTCTTCCTAGTGTTCAGTCTTGGATAGATTATTATTCTCCCTGAAATTCAGTTTTCTCAACTTTAAATGGATATAATTCTATCTCAAAGACCTGTTATATGGATTAATAAAACAAGGGGTGTTAACCATCTTCTATGTGGAAGATGACCAATAAACGGTAGTTCCCCTCTTCCTTATATATCTGTGGATGAGGTATCTTCTGTTTTAACCCCTTTAGATCCACTCTCTAGTCTTTACACCTTTCTTTCTGCCCTGTAAGAACTAGGTCAGTTAAATTCCTTTGACCTTTGGTTTTCAGTTCAGTTCAGCCAATGGACATATTGAGCAGGAGATCAGAAGGTGGGAGAGGAGCGAGACCAGATGATTTACTGCCCTGGTTCCGTCCATAAGTCATCTTGGGCAAGTTGCCTCCCGCTGCTGAAGGTCACAGCCCCTCTCAATATGGCCCTCTTTACTTGACTTTCTCATTCAGGGTCTTGTAACCACTCTCTCCCATCTCCCTTCAGATCTAAGGTTGGTAACAACCCACTTGTTACTAGCCACAGGGTTCTGCACAATGCCGTATGGTTTCCTTCGTAAGATGAACATGCCATTTTCCATCAAACATTTGGAGAGTGAACTAGAGTGCATTAATAATACCAGGCCAAGAAAACCAGCATGTATGGAAACCCACCACCTTGCCTTATCCATGCCTTTGCATGCATCCTCCTTTTAAAACCCTCCTCAAGTTATCCTGATTTTCCTGCTACATTCTGTTCCAATACAGAGATGAACAGTAGGTTGTGACTTAAAGTACTATATTGAAATGTGGGTGTAAAAATCAAGAGATTACATCATGAGGTATACCTTTCCGTTTCCTCTTTTTAGAGCCAGATTATTTCCTACTGGGGTTATCCCTATGAAAAATATGACATTGTGACAAAAGATGGTTATATCCTCGGAATTTACAGGATTCCTCATGGAAGAGCATGTCCAAGAACAGGTGGGATTTATTTCATTAAGAAAGCAATAGTGCCTAAGGAGAGATTCCTGGATGCGATGATAGCAGCAGGGCAGCTTTTATTCTGAAATAGAGCCTATTCTCTCCCATAAGTGGAGGCAAATCATCACCACCACCTCTACTATTTCATTTGCGTAACACTTTGGAGTTTTTAAAGCATTTTCACATACACTATTTACTCTTTCCTTTCCTCCATCACTTTGTCCTCTTTCCAAACAAACACAGAAACAAACGAAAACTTGGTCTTACTCTAGAGATACCACTTTCCAGGCTTAAAAACCGAAACTCTAGGGTCATTTTGGTACTTTTCTCTCCCACAATTCCTATACACAGCCAATAACCAAGACCTATCAATTTTGCCTTCCAAACTTCTCTCTAATCTGAAAACTCTTAGCTTCAATATTGCTCAGGTCCAGGCTTCAACTTCACCATTATCTTGTGCTCCAGCTACTACAACAACTTTCTAACTGGGATTATTTCATTTGTAATTAGTTCTCTATGCAAGTCACTGGGATTTTATTTTTTAAAGTAAATCTAACCCTATTAGTTCTATACTTCAATGCAGTTAGAGCCATTTCTAGCTCCCTACAATATAGGTTGATATCTATAGAGAAGAGAGGAATCCACTTGGCAAGAACTGTTTGCTTTCTTCTCTCATTTCTTAGCTCCTTTTGTTCTTTGGAGCATTGTATAACCAAAATTTCCAATATCAGAAGGGTTAGATATTTAAAGAGACAATCTAGATTTTAAAAAAGAGAGAGAGGTGGAACAGTGCTGTTCACTTTATAGAACTGGCCATCCCCTAAAATAACTCCATTACCTTTGGAAATACTCACAAGAGCTTTGTTTCCACAAACTTTTATCTTATCAGTTCTGCCAGGTAGCTGCCAAAAGGCATGCGATGAAAGCTGTCTCTGCAATGAGAAGCTGCCTAAGGGCTCAGATTAGAAAGGGGCTATGGATTATGACAGCTCTTTGGCTGTAATTTAGCAGAATTAGTAACACCTCTTCTTTCTCTTTTTCCTCAAAAGATGGATTAATGGATATAAACTTTATCCTCACTTCCAGACGGCTGAGGCTTTCTGAGAGGCCAATCTAGCCTACTCAATCTCAGGAAACTGGTCTAGCTCCAAAGGTGACCTAAGGGAAAGTCCTTGGGTACCAGCACAGCATCACAGACCATTTATAAAAGACAGAAATATCCTAGTCACTCCTCTTTCTCTTCTCTATGTTTTCAGCACCACTTCCCTGTCTCCTTCTTTTTTTCTCTTTCTTTAGTCAAATTGTTCCAATTCTACTTGTGAGTAGGATTTTTACGTCAAATGAACAATTTTACCTTGTGTAAATTTCACTTAAAACCTTGCATTTTGCTTTCTGACAATGCAAATTAACTAGCATAATGCCGGGCATTCAGGAAACATTCAATAAATGGCATTTTTATTGTCTTTGTTATTATCTTGCAAAAAGCTTAGTTTTGTCACCAGATGCTTTTTGAGGAATAAAATGTCGTTAATGTGAATAACTGTAGAGCAAATATTTATTGTGTATTTTACTATGAATTTTGTGTATTTTAATTCTAATTTAATTCTTATAACTACACTATAAGATAGCAATTTTTATTATTCCCCATTACAAAATAAGTTAACTAAGGCACAAAGAGGTTAACATGTAGAGGAAGAGATTTTAAATCAGGGCAATCTGACTCCAGTAGCTGTATAACAATACAATACACTGCACATAATTCCGATTTCGCAAAGAGAAAAACAAGACACAGAGAAGATAAATAACTTGCCCAGCTTCAGAAGTAGTTCAAAACCCTAGAACCTCGGCTTGCCTGGTGCCAAATTTCATCTCTTAACTTTCCTTCTGTATTGCAGGGAGTCAGGAAAAAGAATTTTCTGGTAAGCACCAAGGAAGTTCATAGAAAAAACTCCTGTTACTTGTATTTTGCAGCTGCAAAGCCTGCTGTGTATCTGCAGCATGGCTTAATTGCATCTGCCAGTAACTGGATTTGCAACCTGCCCAACAACAGCTTGGCTTTCCTTCTGGCAGATGCTGGTTATGATGTATGGATGGGGAACAGCCGGGGAAACATCTGGTCCAGAAGACACGTGAAATTGTCAACCACATCACCAGAATACTGGGCCTTCAGGTAAGGAGAATACTACCAATGAATAAAGTGTGTACGCTGCTCATTTATATGGATGACTGCTCTTTGAATTTTCCCTTTCCGTCCAAATGCACACTATGGAATCTACAAGAAGGAAATGGACATTTCTTTTTCTACGCAGGTTTTCTTCACAAGCTCTGAAGAAATGCCCTTATTATTGCATCGAGAGTTGTTTTAAATACTCCACTTGGCGTGTGTGTATGTAAAGTATATACGCAAGAAAAAAAAAATCAAGATGTAAAGGTCAACTTTAGAAAGGTTAATTCCAGGACTATCATATTGTCAGTGTGCACCCCAGAAATTTACTTGGTACCCTTACTAAAGAGGAAAAATGAAACTGATCAAGAAATGGGACCAGAATCAAGGCTCTGGTTGAAAATCCTGGGAAACAGACATTCATGATAAGCCAAGATGAGCCAAGCCCTTTAGCATAGATGACACTCCAATTCACTGAGTAGTAAAGGAACTCTACCCTCCATAGGCCGGTGGTGCTGAAATCTGTCCCTGGAGCTGAGTTGCCAGCAGACCCTGTGGACACTGTCTTCCTTAGAAGTTAGGCCTGCTGAGTCACAGAGGCAAACCCCGCACCTGTAGTGGAGCTAAGAACCATTCCTTGAAGGTCACTAAAGCTGTTTGTTCCTTGGCCTCATTCCTGGAAGCCAATTTGCATTCCCTAATTCCACATTCCAGGGCAGTTGTGTCATGGCACAATTGCAAATAACATCATGATTCCCTAGATGAGTGTTTTCCCAACTACATACAGGAAAGAAGCACCTGAAGTGCTTGATAAATATGCAGATGACCAGGCCTCTTCCCTGGACATTTTGATTCAGTCTGTCTGGGCTGAAGTCTGCAAGTCTCTTTGTTTTATTCTGTTTTTAAAATAAGCATTCCAGGTAATTTTTCTTTTCAAGGGAGTTTGGTAAATCTGCTATAGAATTAAGTGAAAATCCTCTGGAGGCTTTTGCAAGTCAGATTTTTCTGATTTCAGTTTCTTAACAAAGTTATTCTTGCAATCAAGGTGATATCCTCAAAAGTTGCACAGACGCATGATATCACGTATTGATTCCAGTATTACATTTAACAAAAGCTAAACATCTAGGTCTGCAATGAATATGTTTAAGTATTGCAATCCTAAAAATGAGATGGGTTTTTTTTCCAATGTTGTTGTTCTTTTTCTTTGGCAGTTTGGATGAGATGGCTAAATATGACCTTCCAGCCACAATCAATTTTATCATAGAGAAAACTGGACAGGAGCGACTCTACTATGTGGGCCACTCCCAAGGCACCACCACTGGTGTGTTTGGGGCAGGTGTGATCTGAAAGTGTCAGGGGATCTTCTTCATATTCAAGAAAGGGGTCAGGATTTCTTCCCTCTGTGCAGTCTCTAGCTTGGGGACTCTGAGCTGGGAAACAATCTTGTCTGGCTGGCTTCTAAAGAGTAAATAAATAAAGTGTGGATGACTGAGGGATTTTCCCCCCAGGACTAAATCTGGAGATTGATGGATAAGCCTGAAAGAGAAACAATTATTTATTTATTCATTTGTGTACCCAACAACACTTGACAGACACCAGGTTAGATACTGGGGAACCAAAGATAAATAAATATGGTATGTATCTTTGCCTTAAAGAGCTCACAGTCTAGTGAGGGACACTAAAAAAAAAGCAGAGAATTACAAATCTCAGTGATTATATGTCACAACCAGTGTGACTTTTAGTCAGTTCCCAGTGGGTGCTGGGATAGGCTAGATGTGTGTGGGTGGGCTACGTTGGCAGTGCCATAAGGCACTCCATTCTCTTCACTGCTCTCTGTTCAGCTAGAGACCTTGACAATACCAACAGCATTTACACCAGTTATTTGAGAGCATTGTCATCCATATTTTACAAATGGCTGAACTTAGGAATCCTTTCTAATGGTGATAAAGCCAATTAGAAAGTGTGTGTATATATATATATATATATATATAATCTAACCTTCAAAAGAATTATTCTATAAGGATTCTATTTTCCATATTTATATATAGAGAAAACTGAGACTTATACAGGGGAGGTTAAGTTGCCCAAGTTTTCACATAGCTAGCAAATGGGAAGCCAAAATTATAGCCCAGTTTTGTCTGATACCAAAGACTATCGTCAAGCTAGAATGGCCCTTGGAGTTTACCTAGACATGCCCCACACTGTATGTTATTTTTTTTTAATTTTTTAATTTTTTGCGGTACGCGGGCCTCTCACTGTTGTGGCCTCTCCTGTTGCGGAGCAACAGGCTCCGGACGCGCAAGCTCAGCGGCCATGGCTCACGGGCCCAGCCGCTCCGCGGCATGTGGGATCTTCCTGGACCGGGACACAAACCCGCGTCCCCTGCATCGGCAGGCGGACTCTCAACCACTGCGCCACCAGGGAAGCCCCCACACTGTATGTTTGAACCCTTTCTGCAACATTCTCTATAAGTAGATTTGCATCCTTCAGGGACAGGAAACTCACTTTATTCTGAATTAGCCAGTTCCACCTTCAGAAATTTAAAAATCCTTCCCTAAAAATGGCACTTACTCTGAGTTTCTTTGTTTTATTTTTTAAATATAACTACTTTTACTATCATTTAAAATGAATTAAGAATTGTTCTAAATCTATGAATTAGTATCTTCTTCCCTTTCAGCTTTCATAGCATTCTCTACTAATCCAGAGCTGGCTAAAAGGATTAAGATATTTTTTGCATTGGCTCCAGTCACCACTGTGAAATACACCCAAACTCCTATAAAAAAATTAACAACTCTTTCCAGAAAAGTAATCAAGGTATGTGACAACTTTCCCCCAAGTTTAAATCTGTAGTAACTAAAACTAGCCCTATTTCCATTGATTTCAAGAGAAGACAGCTTGAGACAAATAACATTTTACAAACATCTAGGAATGCTCCAGGCACACATGTAGGTTTCCTGATGATGTACAGTTTTGCCAACAGGGTTCAGGGTGCTCACTCTGCTGCCATTCTACCCTGCTGTCTTCATTTTTAACTTAGAGGCTTGTCTCTCATGTCATTCCTCAGTCACAGATACAGCAAGAGCTGATTTGATTGATTGATTGGTTTAATCTAGTAGGTTAAATTTCTCTCTGGTGCCCCCTAGTTTATCAGGGACAGTATAGTGTAGTAGTTGAGATCACAGCATGTGATTTTAGGGTGCCTGTGGGTAGAAATGAACTCAGGGTCTTCCTACTCCACTATTTTGCAGACTCCCCTCTGCACTAGTGCGTTTTAAATGTGACCTATTGTCTACACAGCAGTTCTACTTAGTGCATATTAATTTTCTATTTTATAGTTGAAGAAATTCAGGATAATAGAAATTAAATACTTTCCTAAGGTATAAGAGACAGAGTCTAGAATCAAACCAAGGCAACCCTGACTCCAAAGGCTTACCAATTTCCTATGGGGACTAGTTTTTTAGGGGAAGTCCCAAAAAACACTCCAAGTAAAAGATCTTGGGTTTTTCCCAAGCTTTTTGCTTGATGGTGTCTTAAATCGATCTTGCAGATGTTGTTTGGTGACAAGATGTTCTATCCTCACGTATTTTTTGACCGATTCATTGCCACCAAGGTGTGCAACCGGAAGATATTTCATCATATTTGCAGCAACTTTCTATTTACTTGGAGTGGATTTGACCCCAAAAACTTAAACATGGTACGTGTAAGTAGTCAGATCCAGGAAAGCAATTGTTTTGTTGCACAGAGGTAAGGAGAGTACATTCTAAATTGCATGGAAACCACATTTCAAAGTCTCCTTTTTGTCTCCTGGAATGTAGCTGGCATGTTTACGGCTTCCAACCAAAGCTGAGAGTCCACCTGCTTTAATGGGAGGATTTGAGAAGTCTCTGCCACTGAAAATTGTCACCAATTCTTGTTGGACAAAGTGCCACCATTAAAGAGTCCTTCACTTAGGCTATGGTTTTGAAATTTATCTTGCTATGCCTGAGCCCTATCTCAGACCTACTGACGTAGAATTTCAGGGAGTGAGCCCAGCCATCTAATTTTTAACCAATTTTCTACTTTCATAGGTGATTTGGACATAGTCATTTTGTGAACAACTTATGTCTTTTATCCAAAGGGGTAAAGGAATGGCTCTTCAATAACAGCTACAGACTCACCGTTCAAGTGATATGGAGAGGGATAATTGTTGGGGTTCTTATCAAGTCCTTTCCAACTTAACTGAGAGCCTTTCCTTTCTTAGCTACCTCTAACTGATCCGAAGGGTGGGAGGGAGAAAAAGACGAAGCTACTGTCCCCAGCTAGAGTGGAGACAGGTTTGAAACCAGGGGTGGGACAAAGTTGAAGTTGGTCTCCATCTGTCTCACAGACTTCTGCCTAGAGCCTTGCCTCCCTCAGTGGATAGTGGTGATTAATATTTTCCTTGATTTCAAGCAAGATTTATAAAAGGCTGTTTATGCAAAGCATGCCTTAGCCACTGCCTTTCACATGACTTTCTTACTTTCTCAATTTACTAGGGAAACCATGCTTGCCTTTCGCTTAGATGGAAGTGTACCGTGTAGAGCTAAGTAAAAAGACCTTTAAGCAAACTCAATAGAGACAATTTCAAAAAACACCCTCTCAACATGGCCTAAGAGTTTGCTAAAGAAAAACTTCACAAAATGACATCCTAGAACATTCGTGGGATGCCCTCATTGTACATTTATATAGTCAGATTGCCCATTTTCTCTCTCTGTTGTGGACTGGATTATAGAATATTACAGTGCCTGCAAGGATGTTTACTTTAGTGGAGCATAACCAGGGCTACATAAGTAGAGTTTGTAGAGCTTTCAAAAATTACACATGTCCAGAACTCAACCCTAGAGATTTTGGTATTGTTTCATAGGTTTGGGTAGCTCATAAGTAGTAGCTCATAAGTAGCTCTTCTTTGGTTAATATGTCTTTAGAGGGTATGGTACATGTTTATTCCTTGAGAGAGAGAGGAGAGAAAGAGAGAGAAAAAAATACTCAGATTTACTTGTGGTGTGATTATATGATTAGCCTTCAGGTAAGAATCTTTTTACTTTGCAGAGTCGCTTAGACGTTTATTTGTCACAAAGCCCTGCGGGAACATCTGTTCAGAATATGCTGCACTGGGCCCAGGTACATGCTCCCTGTTCCTGATATGACACACACATATCTCTGCAAGATCCCTGAGGAGCACTCCCAAGAGAGCTCACTGCAGGGTTTTGTAGGTTCTGCTACTGTCAGGTGGATGTTTCTGGAATCAGCATCAACTCATGTTGATTTCCTTTACTCCTGTCTATTCTCCATGTCCTCTGTATCTGGTGTTTGGGTTCCCAGGTATTCTGACTAAATTCTGACCTTTAGATTACTCTGAATTGCCTTTTTTAGGAAAAGCTTGTGTTTCCTCTTTTGCGAAATCATTAGCTCTAATAGAGCTTTATATAACATGATACAGGCTATTCCAAAAAGATCTGTTTATCCTCTAATTGGGATATGGGCGATTTCAGAGTGTGGAAATATTGCTTAATTCAGAGGAAATTAAATGTTAGAGAGAGATTAAAATAGATTGTTTCTGTTTTTACTCTCAGTTTAAGGGTTATGGTTTTTTTTGTTACTATATTACTCAATACTTGGCAAGTCAAATTCTGTTGGTATAGCTTTCTGAGCCAAGTATGTATGAGTGTGTGTATGGGGGGAAAGGTCTTCCCAAAGTTTTAATATTTAATTACACATTTTGAGTTTTAAATACTTTAAAACATTTAATAGGGATCTGAGATCACTAGGAATTTGAATTTTAACCTACACCCTGATGAATTTGTTCCATGCTTTAAAGTTGAGAATCACTGCTATAGATAGTCTGAAATACTAGTTGAGGATTTCTGAAATTCTTTGAAGAGTTCCACGCCCAGAAGATAAGCCTTCAAGTTCCTACAGGAAGAAAGATATTCTGGACACAGAGCCTCCTACTGGTGAGGAGACAGGTAGACTCTGATAGGCATGCCTTTCCAGGAAATACAACTTCAATTTCACATTTATTGAGCACTTATTATGTGTCCTTGTTGTCCAAATATACGATTTAATTCTGTCTCATTCTTTCTTATGAATTCTCATAACAATCTTTCAATGAAGGCATTGATATTCCCATTCTACAGATGTCATAACCAACCCTTTACACATCTCACAGCTGACTCTTCTTAAAGATATCTCTTCTTCTTTGACAGAAAGTTCTCTTCAGAATAGAAATAACTGGGCGTGGGGAGATAAAACATTTGGTCATAAGTTATGTAGAGAGCTAAGGCACAGATGATGATGATATGAATAAAAAGAATGATTTCTTGACCATTCCAGGGGCCACATGCTTTTTATGCATGACCATATTTAATCTTCACAACCCTATAAGAAAAATGTTATTGTCATTTCCATTGCACAGATGAGACAATAGGTTTAGAGAAGATACATATCTTGCCTGGATCACAGACTTAATAATCCATTAAGCTTGGATTCAAACAAGGTCTGTTTGATGCTAGAATCCAAGTTCCTAACTTGTACACTCTTTTGCCTCTCATTGCTGAAAACCTACAGAATTTCAACAGCTGCAGACTACTGCCTCTGTCAATATAAATCACAATGAGAACCATTTCAAACATAAAATCAGAACGAAATCAATGTCAAAAAAAAAATCTGAGATTCAAGTTAAGGGAAAAACTAAATCCTTGGAGTAGTCTGAGAATAATTTAATGAAGTGCTTGAGGTAAAGGTAAAAATTATCTGCCTCCTCAATCCAACATGGGTAGCAAATAACAGAAAAAGGATCCCCTAGAAGTATTAATGCTTCTACTCTAATACCTGAAGTCTAAAATTTAAAATGAAAACAGGTTACATACGCTGTCTCAGACACTCAGTCCATGGCCATATTACTGACAACATGGCGGGCTGCTTGGCTCTACAGACAGGAGACAGACAGACAGAGGCTATACCTCAGAAAGCCCTGAGGGTGTTCTTTGAGTGAGCATTCCTTTCAAAAGTAACAAAAATGTTTAAGAATAAGGAATATAATCATAATATCCTAGACCATCTGACAAGGATGATATGGCATAAAGTTTTTAAATAATAACAGCAGTCATTTTTTAATGTAGGAAATGTATAGTTGGTGCCTTTTAAAAATAAATATATATAAATTCCTGAAGCCAGGATATTCAAGAATCATTCAATTTAGCATCTTTCAAACATTTTCTATGTATACAACATTGTAATATTTAAAGCCCTCACTGCTTGAGGATTTTTGTTGGAAAAGTATAGAGGGGAAAAAAGGATTGTAAGTCAGTTCCGTGAATTAGTATCAATTTTTATCATTTTTATTATTTGACTTATTAAACTTTATTGACTTTTAGCTCATGTGCTAAAGAGTGGGACACTATGTCAAACGATTTTGTAAATTTTTTGTTAACTGTCTTTAAATGTATGTTGTTTTCTTGCATCATTTTAATATGTTTGTTATTTTTATCTTATTATAGGCTGTTAATTCTGGTCAGTTCCAAGCTTTTGATTGGGGAAACCCTGATCAGAACATGAGGCACTTCCACCAGGTATAATATCAACAATGATGAAACAATTGCATACTGCAAATGAATTTAAAAAATAGTATCTACTCATCAAGCACCTACTAGGCCCCATTCACTATGCCAGATATTTTGTATAGATCAGATGTTGCTTATTGGGTTCTTACCATGTGCCATAACATTATTTTTGATCCTCAGAATGACCTTCCAAGGTAAATATCATTGTCTCTATTTTTCCAGAAGCTCAGAGAGTTTTAGGTAAATTGTCAAAATTATTTAGCTTATAAAGAACAAGAATATGACACAGGAGTTCCTGGGTCAAAAGTCCATTCTTCTTCCACTACACTTATTCCTTTTCAAAAAATAGAAATTCTCAGCACTTAATTAAGACCATATTTTAAAGAAAGAATTAAAGATACATAATTTTGTTTCTGGAGCATATTCTCTGGCTTCTTAACTGTCTCTCATTAAATGAACTAACATTTTCCTAATAATTCTTTGGGATGTCATTTACTAGTCATTTTATAAAAGTACATGAATTATTAGAGATATTCCAGACAGGAATATCACCTTTAGGGAGAAGCAGTCCTATCTGCCAGATAATGATATGTCAAAATATTTCTTGACATTATACACGAAAACTTTTGGAGCAAAAACTCTATATTAAAGCAAATAGATGTCGTTGTTATTATTATTTTTTCAGTATGTAAGGAAATCCAATGATGGCTTTGGCCTCTTGCTGATAGACTGAGCTTAAATTAAACAAATAGTCATCAAAGATACATGGGTTTTTCAAATCAAGGATATGGACGGAAATTTGGAAAATTTTAAAAAAGCAATTTCAGTGCCACCATAATAACTACAATAGTGAAAATGCATAATTTCAACTAGTGTGAAAAATCTGATTTTTCTCCTAAACTGCTACAGTTATACGTGTGTGGGGTGGTGTGTGCCCACACACACAAACTCACACACCGTGCCAAAGTACTATTTACTCTTGTAATTAACCAATTCCTTGTCCTAGCAAGAGTACATAGTTGCTTTAAGAAAAGCTTTTTAGATGATGACCTTACCCTATAAGACTCAAATACCTATTTGAATGAGAGTTGAATCACAAGTACTAACTTCGTCACTGTGCTTGCAGATTCTATCAAAATACATGGCCATTCAGGTTCAAATATGAATCTTTTGCTTGGAACTTTGGGGGAAAAAGAGAAAACCTAAAACAGACTGAGGGTGAACAATATACAAGTTTTAAACATCAGTAACTTTTGTCACAACTGTAAGTAAGAGCCCCATAAATTAGGCAGGTGTGATTACCAATATAATCACCAATCCTGTAAAACTAAGAAAGTAAAAAAATTATTTCTTGGCCAAAGGCCACCATATATCATTTGGATCTTGATCTTGATGTTCATTTTTGCTTTGCCATCTTCTGGGCTCCCCCATTCATTCTTAACAGGGTATTAAATTATTGCAGTAAATGTATTCTCATTTCAGAGGCCCCTGAGACCCACTTGTGCCTTAAAACTTGCTAATATTTTTGCCACTCTGTGCTGTGTTGTTTTTCTATTCTTTATGTCTCTCTATCCTTGCATTTGAATATTTATGCTTTGTATTATTCTGCTGAGAAAACTGTCAAGTCAGGAAGAGCATGCCTCTCTTTTCATCAGTTGCACTTTTGCACTGGGGCCTTGCACCAGGCTTTTCTGAGTTCACCCTTCCCTCGAGTGCACTACTGGTCAGTGCTAATCTGCACTCATTTCCTTCTTTGCCCTTCACATTGCCTTCTCATAGCTACACATTCCCATTTACCACTTGCTCCTAAGCCCAGGTCCAAGGCCTCCCAGTATTACAGGGTAGGGGAATTATACTTGATATATTTGGTAATGCAAAGACCCATCCAGTGACAGTGAAATGTGGAATGACTATACCAATGCGCTCTGCCTCATATCTCTCTACTAGGAGAACTCAAGGTGCAGAGTCACCGAGTCAGGGGTCTCCCCCAGGCACATTTCTAGTCCTCTTAGAAACATTTCCCGGCCAATGTTACTGTTTCCTAAGGATTTATAACCTGGTCCATGTTACCTTTCTTCCTAGTCTTGCTGTCAAAATTAACTAGGGTGTATTAATCTCCTTGGGCTACCATAAAAAATCCCATAGACTGAGTGGCTTAAACAACAGAAATGTATTTCTAAGAGTTCTGGAAGCTGGAAGTCCGAGATCAATGTGCCAGCACAGTCAGGTCCTAGTGAGGGCTCTCTTCCTGGACTGCAGAAAGCCACCTTCCTCATGTGTATCCACAAAGCCTTTCCTCTATGTGGTTGACGAGAGAGAGAGACATTAATCTCTCTCTCTTCCCCTTCTTATAAGGCCACAAATCCTATTGGACTGGGACCCAAACCTTATGGCCTCATTTAACCTTAAATACTTCCTAAAAGCCTTGTCTCCAAATACAATCACTTTGGGGTTAGGGTTTCAACATATGAATTTGAGGGGAACACAATTTAGTCCATAGAATATGCAACTCTTTCCATTGTAAGTAGTAGAAATCAACTTTATTTTATATTTTAAAAAAATGTTTTAGTTTTACTGAAATAAAAGGTATAGTGGTAAATGCACAATAGCCAGGAACTTATATACCGTTCTCAGGCTCTCTCTTTCTCTCTCCCTCTCAGTCTCTTTCAATTCTGCTTGCATGTGCTGTTTCCATTCTTAGGCTATTTCCAAGATAGTAGTACAATGGTAACGGTGTGTACCTAGCTCATGAAGCTTTTTTTAACTGCAAACTCAAAGAAAATGGCAATATTTTCTCAATAGCTCTGGTAAAAAGTTCCTGAGAGAACTCTGACCCAATTTTAGTAATGTGCCCATTGCTCATACAATTGTACTGCGGCCAGAAGAATGAAGGACTAATTGACCAGGACTGATCACCCTGGACCACTCTGGAACTGGGGTTTTGGGATTTGTTGAATCAGCACAAGAAAGGTTGTGTTACCAGAAAGAAGGGAAACTTGCCAGGGGATTAGCATCATAGCCACTCTATTTCTCTGTAACGGGCTGGCTCCTTTTAAACATTATTTTCAAATGTCTTTTTTGTACATTAGTCTCAATGCCCCCTAAAGAGTCTTCTCAAGTGTTACTAACTCCCCTGAGCCCAGATTTCTGCATATAAGAAGGGGTATTTATATTTATTCTATCCAATATTTTGTTTGAAATTGATACACTCTCAACCCAAGTGCTACTAGAAAGATGGTCCCCCATAGAAATGAGAGCCTCTCTTACTCTGGGATCCTTTTCTTTTTTCCCAAAAGTGAAAATCAGGAATATAATGGTTGTCTTTTTTTAATCCACAATTCATATTATTGCACAAAAGTACTTTCAAATATTTTTAACATGTTAATGTTTATATATCATTAAGTACGTACTAATTGCACATTTTTAGCATTTGAAGAACTTGCTTAACAACTGACAGTTAACGTTACTTCTATAGTGTGGTTTTCTGTGAAAACTATTTTTCTCTCTCTTCAATTTTATTTAGCGTACACCTCCCCTATACAACGTTTCTAAGATGGAAGTTCCAACAGCAGTGTGGAGCGGTGGACAGGACCCTGTGGCTGATCTCAAAGATGTTGAGAATTTACTTCCTAAAATTACCAGGCTTATTTATTTCAAGTTGATTCCACACTACAATCATGTGGATTTTTACCTTGGACAAGATGCACCCTATGAAGTTTACCAAGACCTAATTAGATTGATGGAGGAATGTTTGCAAAATTAAATACACTTTCCTTTCTCTAAGGAAGCGGGTTTTTGTCATAAGAATATGGAGCACAGACCCTAAGGTGACCCCTCCAATAATTTTCACCTCCCAGTGTCCATGAATTTGTGTAATCCTCTCCCCTTGAGTGTGGGAGGGACCTGAGACTTGCTTCTAGACAAGAGAATTGGCAAAGGTGATGGGATGTCACCCACTGATTACATTCTATTATGTAAGAATCCATCTTAGCAGACCGGAGCAAGAGATTCTCCTTGTTGGCTTGAAAAGGCAAACAGATATGTTGAGGAAACCCACATGGGAAGGAACAGTGTGTGACTTCTAGGATCTGCAGGTGGCCTCCAGCTGATAACCTGCAAAAGATTGGGACTCTCAGTTATACACCTATGAGAAAATTAATTCTGCCTAAAACCTGGATGAGCTTGGAAGCCCATTCTTTCCTAGTAAATCCTCCAGTTGAGAAAGCAGCCTGTCTAACAGCTGGATTGCAGCCTGGTGAGACCCTGAACAGAGGACCTAGCTATGCCATGCTTGGACTACTGACCCATGGAAAGTGAGATAATAAATATATGTTGTTTTAAACCACTAAATTTGTGGTAATTTGTTATCCACAATGGTAATAAACTACTACAATTATTATTAATAATAAATTATTATTAATATCATTATTATTATTGTATCTCTGGTTAGAAGCTTGAAAAACCCAGCTTCTTATTTCCATTATTTCCCTGTGTCTTATTTCTCTTGTCATGATGAACTTCCTTGAATATTTCTTGTTTTGCAGATCGCTAATGCTCCATTCTCTCAGTGTTTTGTCTAAGAGTCAATTTTGCATTTCTTTCTTTCTTCCTTTCTTTCTCTTTTTTCTTTCTTTCTTTTTCTTTCTTTCTTCCTTTCTTCCTTCCTTTCTCTTTCTTTCTTTTTTCTTTCTTTCTTATTATTGTAGTAAGGACACAACGTGAGATTTACCCTCTTAATATATTTTTAAGTGGGTCCTCTACCCAGGGGTGCAGGCCTTGACTATACTGCATCTTCACCCCTCCTTCCTGTCTTGTTCCTTTTTTATATCTTTATTTGTGGAAAATATTTTCTGGTAGCTTTCAGGTCATTATCATTGACAGTTGTTCTATAAATAGTTGTATTTTGGTGTGCCCATGGGAAGCGTAGAGCTCAGGGTCTTCCTACTCTGCTATCTGGGTCACTCCCCCCTACAACATTATATTTCTTAATCAGGTAGGGTTTTCTTGTTTTTATTCCTACATCTTAAAAATATTCTATCTTAATTTATAATTTATTTTCAGTAGGAGTCTCAAGGTACATCACCATCATTCTCACCAATCAGATCAATTTAATACTTTTACATTGCTTTTGTATTTCATGTTCAGGAATCTGAACTAGCAGCTTCTAGAGAGGAGAACACTTTAACATGGAACCATTTTTCAGTTCCACTATAAGCCCACTTTGCACAGGACTTGGGGAGTCACAGTCTCCTTGGTGATAGGGTGTCTTTGTAATCCTTACCAGTCGTTGATATAAAAAAATTTACTCTGCACCTTTTGTGTGTTAGAGGCTGGAGATATCTGATGAAACAAGGAAAACATGGTTCTTACCCTTTAAATTTATATTGAGTTGAAAATATGCTGGGGAATTTCAATCCAACAGAGATGTAATAAAAATAACTAACATTATTTGGCACTGGTTAACTTGTTTAGCATTTATCAAAGGCAAGGCCAAAGCCATCTATTTCTGCCACATCTCTGTGATACAGGTACCATGTTTATCTTATTTTAAGGAATACCACTGATGCTCAGAAGACTTAAATACTAGCTAAGGTCAAATATTTAAGAATTATAATCAAATCTGGATCTTGAGCCCAGAGTTACCTGAGTCCAAATTCTAACTCTTGTTACTTCTTTGTTTTGTTCCCCTAAAGTTATAGATGAGGAAACCCAACGTAGATTGTCCTGGTTGGGCAAGGTCCTGCTTGTTAGAGAATTTCTGAGGCTCTGTACAGTGGGTAAGGCCAGAATTTAATACATTTTTATAGTAAACAGGGACACTAAAGCAAAATCACCAGAGCAACAGAAAGGAGTGGTTGAACCAGAAACAGGGACAGGGTATGAGATGGGTAATGTCAGGACAGAAGAGGAATGTGGGTGAGTATGTGAAACAGGCTACCCAAGTTGAGTCAAAACCAGGTTGGCCCAGAGCAAAGTCAGGTCTGGCAGCCTGGTTGCTATTTATCTGACAATCTGTTGATAGATGTGTTTTTATAGCTTTTCCATAGTCACAACACTTTAAGGAGCAGAGTCATGCATTTGACCCTACCCAATGTAATTCATATCAATGAAGCCCGTCCTGCAACACTGGAGAATTACCCAACCCTCAGCATAACAATCCTCCTTTCTATATTTAATAGAATCAGAAATTTTGGAAAGTCACTATTCTTTGTAAGAAAAGGCCTTTCCTTTGTCTTCAGACCTGAGATTTCCTACATGAGGCTGAACATTTCACACTTTTTAAGTTCCATCCTCCAGATCTAGTCCTTTCAGCGTTGGTTCCAACCAATGCGTCCTGCACACCAATATGGTGTTAGATGGATACATTTGACTTAGTGAAATGAACTAGTTCTGTTAGCCCTTCCTTTAAAGGACATCAAGGATAATACAAATAGTTATAAAGATAATCATAACAAAAATCACTCTCATTTCTGAACCACTTCATGTTCTATTCAAAGTGCTTTCACAGCTGTAATTACCTTCCTTTTTATTTTTGAGAGGTAACAAGGAATGGCTATGTATAAATGCTCATGTTAGCATTAGCCATTGGAAGTTCCAGATCTAACTCCACAACTGATTAGCTATGTGACCCCGAAAAAATCATTTATCACTGATTCCAGCAATTTCCTTTTCTATAAAATGGTGACACTCTTTTCTGCCTACCCCATTTTCTGTCATGGAGACCAAAGATGTACATGAATCATATTTGCATAGCCCAGCACATGGGCCTTGAAGTCACACGGTTTAAGTTTGGCTCCTAGCTCCATTATTATCTTTATATCCATAGACAAGTTAATTAATCACTCTAATCCAAATTTTCCTATCTGTGAAATGGAGATAATGTTAGTACCTTTATTATTGAGTTGTTATGAGATAATGCATTAAAAAGATTTAACATAATGCCAGTTACATAGAAAGAGGTTAATGAATATTTTTATAAAATGCTATATAAAGATAACTGCTTGAAATTTTATTCATGAACAAATTCCCATATGGAAAAATAGTAACTTAATTTACATAGGAATTAAGTATTGCAAGACATTAAATGACATATGCAAAGTCATATTTAATCATAAGTCCTATTTTCTTGCCCTCTTGAGATTTTAATACATTTATCTGAATAACATTAAAAATAGAAATCATCTCTACCTATTATTTTGAAACACTTAACATTTGCCAGGCATTATACTACGTGCTTTCTATACATTATCTTGTTGGATTCTCCTAATAGTCCTGAAGATGAACTCCATGTGGCCTCCATTTTACACGTAAGAGACTGGATCTTTGAAAAGTTAATAACTTCCTGAAGTGGTAGACCCACTTTTTTTGGAGGTGGGGAATAACTCCAAAGCTGCATTACTATAGGGGCCAGTGCTGTTAGTTAACCATGATGCTATACTACTTCTCACAATGCAGTATTGCCAGAATATTAGTATTTGTTAGTCAATTATTCTCCATTTATTCACACAATCAGTTAAATAACCTCTAATATTTTATCCAATGATGTGATCAAAAAATAGTTGTTGAGTGGCTGGGAATGCCATCTTTGTCCTCCAGACACTTGATTGGGTCCTATGGAAACTGGAATACTTTTAAGACATGTAATTAATATATATTTGACTAAGACTCATTTCTCAAAATTTTCCTAGCGTACATAAATAAAGGGGCTGTAGAAGTGAGGGGGAGGGTATTAAATAAGATCTGAGCCTTGACAGGGGAATGCTGGCTGGCAGGGCACCTAAGGGCTTCACAGGGAGGCACCTCTTCGGTGACTATGGCATACCAGACTGGCCAATCCCAACACTTGACCTTGTCAGTGTCCTAGAAATAAATTGCACTTACACATGCTGAGTCATATAACTGAAGCTTACAGGAAGCTGCAAAGTATAAACCAAAGCATGTCTTTATAATTTACATTTAAAACTATAATTGTTAAGAGAACTATATCAATTTTTTTTGCCAAAATAGTTCATTCTTTCCCTGTAATAAAACACGTGGGAAGTTCTAGTATAAAAATGTTACTTGCTTGTGCAAGGGAATAAAACACAGAGGAAGTATGTTGTTTAACAAAAATCATCACCTACACAATCATTCAAGTACACTGAGCCTTTTTCCATGAGGAAATAACAGTGTAAGCACTTTACACGAATTATCTTATTTAATCTTAACAATAACTTTATAAAATGGTACCTTTCTTATCCCTACTGTATAGATTAAGGAATTGAAGTTTGGAGATATTGGGCCACTTGCCCCAAAATATCATTCTCTAATTCTGGAATCTTGACTTTAGATGCCAAACTCTTAATCTTTATGCTATAATGTTGTGAGTATTTATTATGAAGTAGCTAGGCATTCAGAACATGAAGAGTAATAAGGTAGACACTGTTCCTTCCCAAGTGGAACTTACAGACTAATGAAAAAGGCAGATATTCTACAGCTGCTTACTCACATAATGAAATCTTTAATTATAATTGTAATGAATCCACCAATAAGAAGACCACTCTCATCAAGGGGGACAGGGAATTATTCTTTGAGGAAATGAAATTTTGGCTGAGATCTGTAAAATCTGCCAGATGGGACTACAGGCAGGGGACTAGCTCAGGTGGCAAGGAGCTAGATTTACCAAAGGAAACTAAAGAAGCACAGGGAGCCAGGTTGGAAATGGGACGAGATGAGTTTGAAGAGGTAGAGCCTAGTTTTACACCTTCCTAGCCACTCACAGAA